GAAAAGACTCACTCGCCTATCAGGTCAATCTTTTCTTCACTGTAACACGAGTATAGCGTCAAACCATCATTACGCTTATTAACAACACAAATAGTCAAATATTTGCGGCTTTCACACTTATTTGACTTGGCTCTGATTCATATGGTTTCATTACTACATATGTGTTTTGTCAGGTTTCCTTAGGTATGTGTGTTTGTGAAGGGGTTTTTCTGTAAAGCAAATTTACCTGTGGGTATAAATAAAGTAATCTTAACCTTGGTTTCTACGAGCACCATCAAGTGTTTTTCGACAACAGATTCTAAAATACTCTCACGCATCTTCGAATCTGTAATTCTCATTCAACTTAATTATACAGTCTAATAATGTCTTTGCCTTTGACTAATAATGTCTACTTTTGTTAGTGTTGTGTAAAGAATCGTTTCAGCAAATGAGTTTAATACTTCACTCTTATTGCCTGTTCTTACTGTCCTTATCTAAACGTTATGCTGCTCTGTTGTTTATTAGTTGCCCCTTGGGGATAAATAAATTCTGATTCTGATACTTTGTGACTGGGTTTTATTTTGAAAATGAACTAACTTACTTCCGGTACTTTCGGGCGCCTTAAAGCCAACTGCAGCCGCAGTTTATCTTGTAACGCTAGCTGGCTAAAGAGAAGAGCTGTTCCCCTACTGCATCTGCTGCATCTTGAGTACCGGTAGCTTAGCTGTGTCGCTCCTGTATCAGCACAACTCACATAACACAATGGACTTACTCAGCTGAACACTTGTTGAAACGTCTCCTCTGTTTGTTGTCTTAAATTGCCTGACGCAACCCGATTGGCTGACCCGATGCGTCACAGACCAACGACTACAGAAATAAATTCAAGACCTTTCAAAAACTGAAAGCAAAGCGTCTCTATCGCCCCCTGGTGTCGGGCGGCAGGATGGCTGTTAAACTGGTCATACTAAAACAATAAAGCTAACCTCAGCCATTAGTAGTAACTCTCGTCTGGCTGATTTATTCTATTAGTTTTATTTTGATTAATAACCTGATTCTATAAGATGAAGCATTTGATTGGCAGCTGCTGTCACAGAGAAACATGCTTATGTCTGTTTGGAAAGCTTGCTGAAAGTCAGTCAGTGTGTCATTGTTTTACTAATACTTTTTTCACTAAGATGAGTCCATTTTCACATTTTGTATCTAATTTCTTTGTGATGACTTAAGAGATGATGAATCCATTATCAATTTGCAAGTTCTAAATACATTTTACTGACCACTATATGATTACTGTGATATTTGTGTTATACAAATGTTATACTAACAAAAAACATTTGACAGTCAACACAAACAGTTATTATCTTCAGACTTTTTTCATATGTATTTACTAACATTTCCTGGAGTTAGAACTTGAGATCAAACCTCACCGTGCAGCTTTTTCTATCTTAATGGAAGTATGGTTTCTGGAGAAGTTCAGGAGAAGTTTTTAACTGCAGTCTCAGTGGGCCAAAACTAGTGTCTCTGGATCCATATAATCTCTCTTTACAACTGCCTCACCGGCTCTGTTCCACACAACCTTGCACACACTCCCCCAGCTGTGTGACAGGGATACTAGCTGGAACAAGAACGCATACATGGTGCTCCATTTTGCTGACCATCATTCCAGTTTATCTGACAAACATTACCCATAATTTTGTGCACAGTAAGCACAATACACTCATACCATATAGCTTAGCTTGTAAAGTAACAGAGGAAGCATTAAATGAGCGTGCTTTCCTCCTGCCTGGGTGTTTGGTACGCAGGGGCCACTACTGAAAACAGGAAGGCTGTGCAGACGGTAATCAACACAATGCAAAAAAATCACTGGCTGCCCTCTGCCTCACCTGGAGGCCACAACCAGATCCTCCAGCCTCAGTAAAACCAGGGTAACCCCTTGCACCCCGTAACCCTTTTCTCACATACGAACTCTATACACAGACCTTTTGCACTGCTTCCAAGCACTTTACTCTCCATTGTGTGCCTTTCTCTTGTTTTGTATATATTCCTCTTGACTGTATATATATCAGTTCATTTGCTATTTATTCCTGATGTCTTTACTATTTATATATTTTTTTAATCCTCCACAGTTGGCATGGAGCACCCATGATTTTGTTGTACATGTGCAATGACAATAAAGGGCTATTCTATTATATTCTACTGCATTTGAGTTTCATAAAGTTATTTATCCAGAACTACTCCTGGAAATAGTTGTTTTACACCACATCACCAGACATCCTTAAGGCTTTTTGAGAGAGGATTTCTTAAGGAAAATATCACCTGCTACCAGAACAACTCACTGATAGTTGTCAAGAGTTAAGTTCAGGAAAGATATTCACAGATACAACAAAACAGATAAAGTGTTTAACACACAACTTACAAACAAATGCTTCAAATAGGGTTGTAGCAATAGGTATATACAGGCGGAGATAATATGAAATGAAAATTAAACCTGAACCATTGTAATATAATGGTTGTAATATAGCAGGCAGCACGGTGGCACGGTGGTTAGCACTGTTGCCGCACAGCAAGAAGGTCCTGAGTTCAATTCCACCATCAGGCCGGGGTCTTTCTGTGTGGAGTTTGCATGTTCTCCCCGTGTTTGC